CCTCAGCACGTGTCTAGGAAGGTGAAGAGGAGAGTAAAGTTGATGGCCCCACCTCAGGCAAGGGGATTTCCAGACACAGGCAGCCCTGCCATCACCAGGTCCCCTCCTGTCACCCCAAAAATATGTCAACAGCCCAGGTGCCCCCTTGCCTGACACACAGCTCCCAAGCAACTCTGACCAGTAATCCACCAGGCTCATCCCCTTCCCAAGGCAACTCCTTGGAGTCAGGCAGCATAAAGAACCATCCCTTCATGGCTGTGACTTACCCTTTTCAAGGTCTATGGCTGTGCCTTGGCTTTACATAGCAGCCTCTCCTGCTGTCTATGCGCCAGCTCAACTGTTGCCTGGAATTCCTGGCTGCTGGGGGCTGGTAGACCACCAAGGCGATGGCTCTCATGGCTTCAGTTCACTGTTCTTGTTGACGCCTATGCCTTGCTGTGCCCCTGGCATTGCTGGGCCATGTCAGTGGGGACATGGCCAGATTTGCCCAGATCTTATTTGTTCGGGCTTGGCTTGTCATGAATGGCACATGAAAGACAGGGCTTCTGGGGATGGCAGGACTCAACCCATGTGAGGGCTGCATGTGGAAGACACCATTCCAATGAAGGATGCCACAAAGGCATAGCTTGGCATGAGGTGGCTGAGCTCATCTTTGACATTAGGCAGCAGATGGAGTTGGTGGCAGGACAGGAGGCTGGGGATAGGACATCCTGTACGCATGTGGGCTGGCTCTGGGGTTGCAGCATTGCCCACACTTCAAACTAGTTGCTCACCCGTGTCCACCAGTGTGGGGCTGTGACCAGGGTGGTAACCCCAGCCAAAGTGGTGTGGGTAGCAGGGTTGCAGCAGACCACACTCTGAGCTAGCTGCAGCACAATTTGCCTCATGTCCTGGCCTTGTTCCCCCTTGATAACACAGCAGAAACCGGGGCAATATGGAGCAGGGTGGTGGGGAACAAATCAAGCCATGTGGGGCAACCCTGCTCTCAGAGAGGCCAGGACAGCAGAGGCTACAAGGGATGCAAGGGTTAAACCCTCCCTCTGCCTTTGAGTTTTCTTTCCCTGAACAGACCGAGAGGAGAGGCGAGCAAAAGAGGGAGGCAGTGCCCTCACCGCCCTCCCCACCGAAATTAACTCTCCATCTGTTTCTTTCCGGCTGAGGCTGATGGCTTGTGACAGGGCATCCTGAATGCAAAGATGTTTCACCCAGAAAATCTATTACAAGTTGCTCTAAGAAAGACAGAAATTCTCTCCTTCTGTCTCTCCCTACTGGTCTCTCAAGGTGCCCACCCCGGGCGAGAGCCGGGCTGGCGGGCTGGCGCGCGCAGCCTGCTGCCTCCACTGAGCCGGAAAGCTTGCCCTCGCCAGGTTGCAGCTCGGCCTGCCTCGCTGCAGGCCCGGAATGGGGGTTGCTACGGAGAGAAAAGGGGTCGTGGAGCAGAGGGCCAGGCTGTCTGAGCAGGCTGTAGGGTTTGGGAAGGGCGTCAGCATTGTAAGATATAGAAGTACCCTACAATGCAAAGAAAACCCACCATTGCGGTGGTCAGGGGTGCTAGGGCTGCTGCCCTGGCTCCTCGACCCCTGCCCCTGGAACTGGGACTCCTTGAGGGCTGGTCTCCATGATACAGATGGGGAAACTGAGGCAGGGGCTCCCCAGGAAGCACCCTGGTGCTTCCGCAGGGATCAGGGAGTTGGAATGCTGGCATTTGCTTTGCAGGGCTCAACCCCCCTGCCACCAGCTGCAGTGTTCCCTTTGGTGGCGATCGTTTCCTGCACAAAGCCTTGGTGCCAGGCTGGACAAAGATCCCGGAAAAGTGAGTTGAGCTGAGGCAGTGCCAGCAGCTCCAAGATGTCCGGCACAGGCTAGTAACACAGCCCGTGCCAAGACCTGGAGATGCAGAAGCGGCTGAGTCCTAACCCCGCTCTACAACCCTCGTGCTGTGGCAGGGGCTGGCTTGGGGTGCTGTCCTTGCCCTGGGATCCCAAACTTGAGGATGCCCCATCAAAGGCTGTGCAGGACCCCCAGACCTGCTGGCCTCAGCGCAGAGGGTGGTGGAGGGGGTCCCTCTGTGCAGATCTCCCCTGTCCCTGGCTGGGTAAACCCTGGCACAGCAGAGATGTCCTAACCTTGCGACACCCTAACTTTGCAACCCCCCGTCCTGCCGTCCCTGCAGACGGGAGCAGGGAGCAAGGGTGCAGAAGGGGTCCACAGGAAGCAGCACTGTGGCACAGCCGCGTTGGTCGATGATACCATCCTGCGGTGGCCCCCGCATCTCCTCTGTGTGCCAAGGGAGCGGGGACCCGCTGCTCCGCAGCGCCGGGAAGCGCCGGGAAGCCCTTCCCGGGCCCGCACCGCCCTCTCCCGGCTGCTAGGGGCTGTGCTTGGTGCCGGCTGCCGAGTTTCTGCTTTCATTTTTATTTAATTTTTATTTCTGGGCCAGATAAAGCTAAAGAAAGCTTAAGCTCAAAATCCCCCCCTCTTCTTGTCTTCAGCCAATTTTCAGGCCGAGGTGCAGCCCAGACAGGTATCACCTGCCGCTACTGCAACCCTGTAGCAGGCAGCAGCAGCCTGAGGATCTGAGCCAAATTCTCCAGTGCTGGAGCCGGTCAGATCATCCTGGTACTGCCGGGCCAGGCTGGGGAGCTACTGGCCCTCCCACCCATGGCCAGCATGCCCTGACAGGTGCAGCATTTCATCACAAGCCTCCCTGTGCCACGCGGTTCTCAGGGGCAGGAGAGGCAGGTAGAGGCGGATCAGTGACAAGGATCTTGCACTGTTCACTGCGAGGGGAGCTCTCGAGGACCATCTTGCAGATGGCCCCAAGCCCGCAGGCCCCAGCTCCCCGCAGCCGCTTGCTCAAATCTGCAGCCACCCCAGCTCACTGGGGGAAAGGCTCTTCCTTAGCCCCCCAAGTCACGCAGCCCCGTGCCACCCTTCCTCCCTTTCCCTCCAGGCCTATATCCTCAGCACCTCCCCACGGTGCTGCACCTCATCCATTATCCCCAACGCAAGGCAAACCCAGACAGCTTCAGTAAAAAACAAAACTTTATTTGGTCCATCAGAACCTGAGTTTGAAAACCATCATCATTTGTATAATACAGGGATTACTGGTCTCATTTACATTTGATAAAATAGCCTATGTTTCTTAAGAGATGGACAGTATGTACAGGGTTAAAAATTTTCACAGATCAAAGACAGAAAGAGAGCAAAGAGCAAAAAAAAAGCAAAGGACAAATCATCCCAAGGAGGAAGGTGCAGATAAGAGAGAAAACAGATCAACAACAAAAAATACAGACAGCTTGGCTGAGCAGCCCCTGCCCCAAGGGGCCGGGAGGGCTCCAGGGCAGCACGTGCCCAGAGCCCTTTTCCCCAGGCCCCTGCCCACTCCTCAGCTCTTCAAGGACTGGGTAGAGACAGATGCAGGTCAGCAAACGCCAAACCTAGCAGATGCCCATGCCCAGGGCCTGATGTGTCCCCAGGGGTGGCCGCTGTCGCAGGCAGTGGGATGTAGAAAGCGCTCCGACATGCACCACAACCAGGAGCCTGGCCAGTAACATGGCTCAGGGTGTCCCGTTTTCCCCTGGAGCTGCAGGTCCTCACAATCTAGGAAGGAGAGTAGTAACACGAGCAGCCTTCCCTCACTCCACCCACCTTAACAAATACACTCACGCTCACTACCTAATCAAACTGGAGAGCCGCAATGCCAGAAAACACTGCTGAAAAGCTTTGGGGCAGCCTGGTGAGATCTGGCAGCCTTGCCGCTGCTGTCTGCTCCATCCATGGAGCATCCAGCAGGCTGCGGCGATGCCAATAGGCCCCTGCAAGTCTCAGCCATGTCCCAAGGGACCTTACCTCTAAGGGATGGGGCTCCCTGCTGCCTCCAATCCTGTGCAGAGCAAGGAAGTGGAGCAAGCCCGTGGGAGCGGCTCCCTAACCCTGGCTCTGTACCTGCTGCCCTCCATCACCTGCCAGGCACTGCTGAACTGCTAACATTCAACCCTTGCCACCCATGCAGGACATGCGGCCGGCCTGGCGGGGTGGCAGCAGGGCAGTGCCCAGGGCTGGGGAGCACAGCCCCAGCTGGGGACTCATGGCTTCTCTCCAGGCACTGCTTTCAGAGGCTGCCATTGCATAGAAACACTTGTAATGAGTTGAGGGGAGGGCCCTGTTGCCATGAAGCAGTGACCTGCCTGCCCCCCTCCACGGACACAGGAGACCTACCCTTGCTCCCCATCGCACAGGCTGGGAACTGCAGCTGGTCATTTTACTGCAAAGCGTTGCAGAAACCATCCATGGGGGTTTTTAGAAGGACCAAGCACCTTCTCCTGCTTGGCCCCAAGCACCACTCTGCTGTCCTCACCGCGCTGGCCGAGGCAGCCCAGGCAAGACGCCAGAGCCGCACTGGGGACTGCAGCAGCTCCACACCATGAGCAGCAGGCAGCGGCGGCACGAGCGCGGGGCGATGCAGCGCAGCCCGCGTCACGCTCATCAGAGGCAGCGGCCTCCGGCACCCAGCAAAGGGACCCTGACTGGCCTCCCATTCGTTTCTCACAGCAGACAACAGGGGGAAAAGACAGTGGGGAGGGCACAGCCGGCAGACGGAGGGTCACATAGATGGACAGACTCGAGAGGTATATTCTTTTGCTTTTTTTTTTGTGTGTTTGTTCTTTCAGCGCCAGGGCCCCAGCGCCGTGAGAGGGGGGCAGAGTCCTGAGCGTGGTGCCTGGGAAGGCGGTTAGTGGCAACCTCCAGCCAGGCCATGCCCTCGCTCCTTTGCCCCCCTCCCAGTGGCTCCTCGTAAAGTGCATGAATTGGCAGGGCGGGGGACGTTGGGTGCTGACGGGGGGCGGGCGGCGAGCAGAGCTGGTCCTGGCCCCTGAGAACTCGCCCCCAGCCCTGCAGACACAGGGCAAAGTGCTTGGCGTGATGCTCCAGCTCTGCCCTGCGGCTCAGCGCTCACAGCTCAGAGGGCGACCCCAGGCCAAGGGCTCAGTGAAAAGAAAGGGAGAGAGGAGTGGGCTGGAGGAGGCGTTTTGTCATAGCGGCCGGGGCCCGTGGAGTCCGGCCACCTCCGGCGTGAGCAGGGGGTTGTGGGTTCCTTTTGTGGACATCCAGTCATTGAGGAAGGCCTGGGTGGCTTTACGGTGGGCCAGACGGTGGGTGATGGAGAAGCCAGCATTGCCCTCCAGCTGGGAAAGGATCACCAACACCTGCCTGCAGAGAAAGTGCCAAGCTCAGGGCTCGCCAGCTGCCCAGCTTGGCAAAGGAACACACTGCTCCCGTGCCGCCTGGCTTAACCCCCAGCGTGGAAATCCCATGCCCTGCTGGCTCTGCCCACTCCTTTCCTGACACCCCATGCCCACCCTGGCCCACACCACCTCATAAACCCCACTCCCTGCCTCGCTCCAAGCCTGTCAGCTTGGAAGGACAACGGTGGTAACGGCACACACCCTGCGGACCAGCACCACCCTCCCACTCCTTACCTGTGCAGGGGGGGCACGCTGTCTTGGGTTTTGAGGCTGCCACGCGTGGAAACCACGTTGAAGCTGTCAGTGCAGTCACACTGGACATGCAGGTAGGACTTGGGGTGCCGGTTCTCCACCACCACGATGAGCCCTGCCCAGCCGTGTGTCAGGTAGTAGCATGTCATCCCCTCGCGACCCTGAGGGAAACAATCCAGTCAGGTATCCCAACCCAGGGGGTACCCTGCTTTCACACTCCGAATCAGCATCTTCCACCACCCCCCATGCACTGCCACCCTCTGCCCCCACTGGGCTGCAGTGCTCCACGCTGACCCACACAGAGAAGGGTGGCCACCCATGGGGCAGGAAGGGACTGGCTCCACAGCTGGCCCTTCCTGGTGACTGCCAGGGACTCTGACCACAAAGCAGAGGGCAGGGTACTGCCTTCTGCTGGCACCGTTGCCCCCTGCCCTCTGCAGCCGTGGCCTGCCCAATGCTGGCTATGTGCCACCCTCACCTACCTCATGCCGCTCGCCCTTGTTCTCAGTCAGCAGGATGATGGCATCGGCGAGCGTGGTGGGCTGTGCCTCCACCTGCTCCACCATCACCAGGCGGGAGCTGTAGATGGCCAGGATGTAGCTGGAGTAATCAGTGGCCTGCCGGCTGCTGGTGGGGCTGGATGCTGTGGGGATGACAGAGCACACACAGGGGTGTTCAGGGAGACTGTTTCAGACCCCACCTCTCCTTGGGAACCCAGCACACACATGAAACCCTCTAACCCAGGAGGGACCCCACAGCAACGTTTGCGGATGGCTTCATCAGCTCTGCCTCCCCCAGGGGTTACCATGAGCAGGGAGGGGAGCTCAGTTCCTGCACTGCCCCGCCAGCCCCAACACCGCTTACCCTGGGCAGCAGCGGGGCCTGCCAGGGCAGCATTCCAGTGGTTGAAGGCACAGCACACCACAGCGTACTCGCCCGGCTCCAGCATCACGTCGCAGTTGACAAACTTCTTGACAGCTCGTTTGCTGTGAGCCATCAGCCGGCCCAGGCTCAGCTTGTTCCCGCTGGTGAAGGTAGCCCGAAAAACCATGATGCACAGATCCAGCAAGTGGCTGTCCACCATGTCTGACCGCCTGCAACAGGAGAAGGAAGGTCACGCCTCAGCAGAGCATCTCCTGGCACAGCACACGGGCATCACCCACTCTGGGCAACATGGCCAATTTAGGGGGACAGTCTTCCCACTGGGCCTTGATAGACCCCCTTGAATATCCTGACTCATGAATCAGTGCCTGTTCGGGGCTAGGGTTGCAGCTGTGATGACCCCAGTCCTGAAGTACGAGTGGGCCACGAGAATCAGTGAAGAAATGCCAATGGAGGCCGATCTCTAAGCTTTGCAACCCCACGGGATGGCATATGGAGCTAGTGTGAACAGGGCAAAGCACATTTTTCCGTGGTTCTTGTTCACTGCTTTCAGCCCTTGTGAGCTGCCCAACTAACCTGCTGCCCTCCTGGAAGAGGGCAAATTCCAGGGCAGCACGCTCCAGCACTGTCAGCGATGTCACTGTCACTGGCCCGTTGGCCTTGTTGGGGAACATGCCCTGGACACGCACCTCGTGCCAGTCTGAATGCAGCTTGCAGATGTCCACGGAGTCAAAATACCTGTGGGAAACATGGGCTCAGCAGGCCCTCAGAGCTCCTCTGCAGGTGCCCTCACACCCTGACCCACTGTGCCCCACTCAGCCGAGAAGCAGGGGCACCAGAAGCTCCACATGCTCCTCTGGAGATGTCCAGCGCACTGCGCCCCATCTTTGCCCCCATGCCCCGTGTTTTCTTTCCTAGCCCAGAGACTTTGGGCTCAGACCACAAAGCCCATCTCCACAGCAGCGAGACGTGACCTACGCAAAGGCAGTGCCTGCCTGCCACATGGGACAAGGGCACGCTGCCAAGAGGGGAGAGGTGAAGGGAGGAGGATCAGTGCCCTTGGAACGGGTCTCTCCAGAGGGCCGCAGCCAGGCCCAGGGTCCCCAAGGAAACGGGCACTGCTGGTAGCTGCAGAGGCTGCTGCACCCACTAGGTGGCACAGCCCAGCCGTGCTGGTGGCGCCCGCTGTGCCTGGAGCAGCCCTGCTTTGTCCTCCTGGAAAGGGGTCAGGAGCAGAGGAGTCGCGCCAGTGCCCCACACTGTCCCATGGCCCTGCAGAGGCCTCGCCCCAGAAGGGCCCGCTGATCTCTGATCCTGGCACCAGCCAGCCTGGCTGCCCTGTGAAAGGCAGTGCTGCACACGTGGGCGCAGCCAGCACGTGAGGCCATGGAGGCCTGAGTCCTCCCTTGCAAGGATTTCTCCATCCTGTCTCCTCTGAGTGAAGGAGTTTGCAGGACCCAAAACAAAACAGCCCTTCAGCAGTTTCATCACACAGCCTTCACCCATCCCTTCTGCTCTTCATCCCCGTGTCACGCTGCCTTGTTCCCACACCCAAGCCCAGGATCTGCCCTCTGGGAGGGGGCCTGGGGGTCTCTGCCTCCTAGGCACTACCGTACTTAATGAAATCACTGTACTCCATCCAGAAGACCCCCTCGCTGCTGCCATGGGGCATCAGATCATGACGCAAGGGGGCTGGCCAGTGAGGCCACTCATCAGACCAGTTGCCATTCCAGGAGAAGCGACCCCAGGGGTTTCGGAGTCGTAGTAACCTGGGGGAAGGGAAACAAAGGTGTCAGAGGCTCAGAGCAAGGGAGGACACAAGGGTGATTGCCTCTGAGATGTTCACCCATCTCCACAACTCAGCCACTTAGTTTGGCCTCCCTCAAGTAAGCCATCACACAACCTTCTACCCCTGCAGCCTGTTCCTGACTTTCAGAGCCCCTAGAGTATCCCAAACCAAAATTTCCACCCCTCTTCCACAACACGACCCAGGTGTCCATGTCCTGATCTTCTGTTTGGATCTGCTGCGGCTCACCCCAGCCCAAAGGCCATTTCCAGGCGAGACACTGTGGGGAGGCAGTTGGTGAGCAAATGCTCAGAGAGCAGCACAAGCCCTCACATAACATGGCTAAAAGTGGGCCTTCATACAGGCATCCAGGTAGTTGGGACAACACCCATTAGCACTGCCCTCACCCCACCAGCATGAGAAGGATACCCTCATTTAATTTATGCTGAAAGAGCTTGACTCAATCCTCTTGTGTCCTGCCACCCATGGCATGATTGAGCAAATCATACTGCACAGACCTCAAAGCTCAGACAGGGTTGCCTAGAGCGGGGCAGCCTAGGACATGGGCCCAGTGCCACACAAAGCCAGCTTATATGACAGCAGTATTGACGTGACCCCATGAGGTGGAGAAGTAGTCCTTGCAAACTGTAAGGATAGGACACACACGAGTCCCCAACGTCTTGTCCCACATGTTATCCCCTTATATTCTCCTTTACCAGCCTCCAAGGTTTCTGCTCACAGGCTATATTGCTAGGAACATTTGCTATAGTACGGTGGCCTTCACCATCTAACTCACCTGAAGCCTTGGACATCCCGCACATCCAGGATAGAGTAGGCATGCCGTGGACGGAGACCCATACTCTCGTAGGCCACATCATCCACCTTCATGTTTCCCCCACCACAGGATGCACCCATGAGGAACCTGCATAAGGGGACAGCAAAATGCTCAGTATTCTGCAGGGTCTGGCACTGGGGGAACCTGGTCCCCGCAGTTTGAGATATGGGACAGACTTTCTCCTGGCAGGATCCTCCATATTCCCTCTCTGCAGAGCCCTGACAGCAGCGGCTAGCGTTCTGCTTAGGCAGCAAGCTTCCTTCAACTGCACCACTCAAGTGTATGCTCAAGTCCAGGCTCCATGGAGAGCTTCTCCAAGCACTGCCCTCAGATCACTTGGTTGCCTTCTATCACCAGATGGACAAAACAGAGCTGCCCTCACCTTCTCTCCCCATCTCTTCCTGCTTGCTCCTTCCACACGCACAGTGGGGCTTCCCCTGAACCTCACTCATTTTCTCGCAGGCCCCATGGCACTGCCAAGTGTGTCTTGGATGGTTGGCAGGCCAAACTGAAATGGCCAATGGTGGATCTGCTTCCACTTTTCAGGGAGCAGGTCCTGGTTGTGGGAGTGAGGACCCAGGACACTCAGGGCTGGAAGTCTGCACCACCCAAGGTTGTGAAGGTACCACATGCCAAGATAGATTAGCCTCCTGTGTAGCAGAACCACAGTCGTGGCCCAGTACCGCAGGGTGACAGGAGCTACCCTGCCTTTAGCTATCACAATAAAAATCACACTGATCTTCATGGGGCAGAGCTTAGGAGCCTGACTTCCTCGCCATGCTTCCTGTTGGTCAAGTCTCCCAGTGATGAGCAAGATGACTTGCTTTTGCTTTGCCTCCTCTAGACCGGACTAATCATGCCCAAGTATGGCCAAAGATGCATTTATAGGTGGGGAACATGTGCAGAGTAAAGCCCTTATTAATACAGGCATTATGGAAGCAAAAATCAAAGCAAAACAAGAAGATTTAATGCCAGCCACTTCAAAAACTGTGTAAGACAACAGCAAACATGCACAAGGAAATCCACTAGGATTTTAATTTCATCTGAAAATTAAGCAAAGGAGAAATCATCATTAGATCTTAGAAGAGGATTCTGTCAACACTTCAGATGCCAAGCGTTGTGGACAACATCCTGGGTCAACACACTAGCCCCTCTCCTCTCAGTCTCTACAAGTGAGAGCGGCCACCCTTCTCCCCCCCTTCTTTGAGTATCTACGTCCTGACAGCTAACATGATGTCCTCCTGCCTCGTCTTACCCAGCCTCCTTAGAACTCAGCATTTTGGCCCAGATGAGGTCAGTGTCAATGGGCTCCTCGCGAGGGTTAGTGGAGCTGACCTGCAGCATCAGGCTCTCGCAGGGGGCACCAGTTAGTGTAGCCAGGCCTTCAATAGCACGCCCCGCCTGGAGGGCAAAGTACGAACCATGAAGCTTGGCCAGTGCCTTCTCAATGAGGGCTACCCATAACTGCTTCCTCTGGGCCTGGGGAAAGAGATAGAAACATGTCACAAGCCACCCCTGGACATGTGATGGAAAAGCAAATGGACCACATGCAGAAAAGGCAAAGCCCTGCTCACCTGCCCTCACACCCTCACACTGTGAAGGGAGGTGGCAGCAGCAAGGCCAAGCTACCAGGAGCTTGCTCACATATGGCCAAGGGAAAACCCATTCCCTGCCTGTCCAGCGTTTGGTTTTGTTTTGTAACGTGATAAAATAATGGCCTCTTCTTTCCACATCAATCTGGATTAAAAAATGTTTAACATTTAACATTAACAAAAATGTTAAACAGAAAGGCTAGTAGGCACATCTGGACAGTTGGCTTTTACTAATACACCACTGCAAACAAAAACTTTCACAAGTTTGGAGGAGGAGGCTGCCTAGCGCACACTTTGCAGTGAAACCAGTCGCATTTCATACACAATGAAGAGGTGGTTTCAGGGACAAAGAAATGAACCTCCGAAAACTCAGAGGCACACTGACAAACTCCTCCACTCCCAGCACAGGGCCAATGGCAAGACATAATTAGAAGATGCATTTCTTGCAGCGGGAAATCTCTCTGGAATCACCTTGCTCCAACGCCAGGCTATTGGTATGGTTAGAAGACACTATAAAGAAATGTATAGGCTGCATTAATTCACCCAGAAGGTCACAAAGCCTACAACCAGAGTGCACAGCCACTGTTATGGGTCCTCAATCTCCTATACTGTCCTGGGCATGTTCAAACCTGAGAGAAGACACTTCCATCCTCGCCCCTACCTGACATGAGGAAGTGAGAAGATGAATAGAGAAGGTTGCAGGTGTGCCAGCACAGAGGCCACAGAAATATTTGTTGGCTTCTGTATCCCCAGTAAATGAGGTTCAGAGGGAGATGTTTCAAAACCCAGTGCTTGCAGAGTAGCAAGGCAAAACTACTGGTACACTTGTAACTTTGTGTGACTCACAGGCGAGCATCAGGGGTTGGGAGAAGAAAGGAAGGCAATGAAGATTTCTTTGTGACAAATAAAGGAAGATATGGTCTGTATTTGAGTCCCTCAAATAACAAAATCCGTGTAGTTTGTTTCCACCTGAGACTCAGCGAGAGAGCTGTGATAACACCCTGCTTTTGCTTTATTTTTAGAACTCTGGTTTTCCTTTTCACCCCCCACATTCAGCTCAGACACCTAAAAACTCAGCAGCAAAAGTCCTTCAGGACTCAGATGCACCTGGAACCAAAAGCAAAGCAAATCCAGTCCATCTGAAAATCTTCAATCTTGAAAACATATAGACTTGAAATTTTAAGGGAGGAAGAATGGTTGGAGAAGGATAAACAAAAAAACTCAAGGGGGTTTCTTTTCCTATGCTGAAAATAAAGAATTTCATCTGACTAGGTCTTCTCTATCTATCACGAAACAAAACATAGGCACGGACTCCTTTCTCTTCCCCTTTCCAATGTTTCTTTTTAATAGGACCCACCTTCCGGAGCTCTGGCAATCATTTTGACACACTTGGCTTTCCTGTATCCCACGGGGAATCATCCACTTTGTAGAGTCACTGTCTAGGTAGTCCAGCCTTGGCAATGGTCTATCTGTGTTTGAACAGCGTGAAGCTCCTGCCTGGACCCAAAGCAGCCTGAACAGAGCCTGCTGGGGTTGAGCGGGGCACGGGAGGTGATGCTGCCAACTGTGCTGACCAGACTGTGCCACCACGTGCCCAGAGAGGCCTGCTAGCCTTGACACAACTGCCCCAACACTGGGCCACCTCCATGCAGTGGAGAGCAAAGACTACTAAGCCCATGCAGGCCAGGTAAGCGGTGTCGATATTACAGTTTTCCTAGTACTTGAGTTATGCCAAGGTCCCCATCTCCCTGTAGTCCTGTCTCTCTGATGAGATTAACTCATCTACAGCTCTACCATGATGTAGCTCTGGGGGTTGTTTAATTTAAATTAATTTAATTTAATTTAAAACAGAGAATTTGGATTTGCAGAACACAGTGAAACCCACAGAGAAGTCCGAAGTTCCCAGGTCCCTGTCTCTTCCCCTGACTGTGGCACTTCAGTTTGTTTGCCAGTTCTGCTGTCTGATTCTCAATAATGATGTTTGTGTTCTCCTCATGGAAAAGATCCAGGCAAGTGCCTCTGTGCCTGGCAGGTAGAGCACAATGCACAGTGATGTCCCAAAATGGCTTTTTTAATCCTAGCAGATGCCCCCTGTGTATGCTCAGAGCAACCAGACACTGGCTGAAAATAGGCTGACTTATAGTGCAACCAACTCCCTCTTCGTGGGCCCTACCTGACAAAGCCAAGATGCCAGATCTCCCTGTGGAGGAAAGAAACTGCTTTCACTCAGTCTCATTCTCGGCAAAAACACTCAGGTAAAATGCTTTCCTTTTGCTGTAAAGGATAAAGACTTCCCCTGTAAACCTACAATGCAGGGACATGAGCAGGGGAAAAGATGCCTGAGAAAGAACTCTCTTGCAGTCTGGGAAATGACAAGAGAGGCCTGAACAGATTTACATCATGGTATCTAAGAGCTCTGGACATGCAGTAGAGACCAGGGTCGCAATCCCTGATCAGTCCTTTCTTGGGACAGCTGGAGAAGAGACAGTCCCATGCGCCGGAGACTCTGCCCACCCCTTCCTTGCACCCCTTTTTCCCCGGGCCAGGATGCTGACCTGAGAGAAGAGGAGGTATCCACACTCATCACAAGGCAACATGTCATCCACCAGCACAGTGGTCCACGTGCCGTCCTTGCACAGCCGCACCTGGTAGGCGCCCTCGGGGCACAGTGTCCGCGTGATCATCACCCTCTCCACCAGCTCTGGCCGCTCCGCCAGCACTGCCAGGGCACTCAGAAACCTGGTGAGATGGGAGACACCGTGAGCAAGGCATGGGAGAGCAGGACACAAGAGCGGGGCTGTCCAGCTGGGTGGTATAGGGGCCTGGAATCCACAGTGCTTTGGTAAGGGGTGGGATATGGGATGGGATATATAGTGGGGTGTATAAATGGGCTCTGGCTGGGCTCAGTGGTCCAGTTTAGAACTGGGTGGTGGGTGGAGAAGGGGAAGGTGCAGGAGGGTGTCACTGCAGCTCTCTGCCTCTTACCAGCAGTTTCCCAGCAGTCCTTGGAGGATGTCTGAGGGCCTGGGTGTCCGAAACACTGACCACTTCACCGTTCGGTCTTTGAAGATACTACAGTTGATTTCGTGGGGTCGCAGCCACTGCTTCACCCTCTGCTGGACACTGTCGCCTTCCGGGAATCCCACAGACTTGGGCCCAGGGTGGAAACTATCATCTACAAAATTGACTTTGTTCTGCGAGAGCAAAAGGCAAGGACAGCATGAGTATGTGTGCCATGCTCCCAGGTCCTCTTGGGAAGGGGCCAGCTTGGAAAGCCTGCCCACTCTACCCCAGAAAGGAGACCAGAGCCCCGAATGCTTGTGTTTGGCCAAGCAACTTGTTCTGATGCCATGACAGGGAGCATGACTTGAGGCCAGCATGAGGCTGGGTCTCTGCAGAAAACATCACAGGCCAAAGCAGACCATGCCTAGATTAATTTTGGGCAGCAGGTCCAACATTTGGCTGTGCCACTGTCATGCCGTCCTTGAGCTGGTTCACCTCTCTGGGTGCCAGGCTCCTGACTGCAACACAGATGATTATTTTCTTTTTTCCAGCAATCCCTCCCGGCAGGAATCATCTTGCACTTTGCACTGGTGCTAAAAGCTGGACTGTGGGGGACCCTGGCTGCCTCTGTAAGTGGCAAAGCATACAAAAGCATCAAGCCTGTGAAGAAGCATTTGGCAACAAAATCCTCACGGATTAGAGCCCTGTGATACGGGCTGAGCTGCACAGGGCAGCCCCAGGCTCTGCTGCATCCGTTCACAGCACGGCTTCTCCAGAGCGGGGAAGTTGCTTTGTAGGTCTCCATGACTCTTCCAAGGTGCATCTGTAGAGGACATCAGAGGCACCTTTTGCAAATGGAATCAGTCTGACCACAAGAAGGCAAGCGATTCTGGAGTAAGGATATTCAAAATCCACCTGTAACAGCTACTGCACATTGCATAAAATGGGATTGAATGAAGGGTAGATAGTCCTGCAGGTGTTTGCGCAGATTTAGGATGGACAAAACTTCACCAAGGGGAGAAGGGCTACTTATTCCTAAAGTTTAATAAAGCGTGAAATAAGAATTGGGCTTTTCTGTTTTGTTTTTGTTTTGTTGTTTGTCATTAATTACATTAAATCTTTTTTTTTTTCCATCAGAAATGTCCTATGATTCAATTAGCTTTTATGTACATCAAACCAATATTTGTCTTCTTCTTTTGTTACAGTCCTAACTCACTGATGCAAATATTTTCTATGTGGTTCTTCAATCAGCCCTTTCGGTTTCTATTTTGCAGAAAGGAGTTTTTCTCCTAATTAATGCCACTGTTCAAATACTGACACAGACCAAAAAGGACAAGCTCCAGAGTCCTAATGGCTTTCTGGGTGCAGATGATGAACAAACTGTATTTGCAAACCCCCATCTTGGCCTTGCAAAGTAATCTTTTGGTGGAAAAAGATCAGGGTTCTCCAGGAACTCCCTGTGCAGGGCTGGAAAGACCCCAAACAAGACAACAGTTCTTGAGTCAGGGACTTTATGGCATCCCAAGTTTTCTGTCTCCTTTGGAGCTGTGGCTCTCTTCCAAAAGGCAGAGATGAAGGAGAGCCTTCTGCCTGCCTTAGACCATAGCCAGGATCCAACCTGTCACTGTCCTGAGCTAGGACTGCACTGAGCAGGACCTTGTGATCTTACATGGCCACCTACACCAGGCACCACCACAACAGTTATCTGAACACAGCTCCTTCTCCTCTCTCCAGCTTGCATAGGACACCTGGCTCAGCAGGACCATAAGTCCATTATAGATTTGGGAGCTCAAGTGGGACAGGACCCTGATAGCCCCACTGAATAGACCACTTTAAAACTCAGTATGCTTCACAGTTAGTGCTCAGCCTTCCTCACTTTTGGACAGGGCATAAGCTAGAAGGATCACTTTGGAAGGTCCTCTTCACCCTGCAGATTATCTCATGCCAGTTTAACATATGATGTTTCAGCATTAACACCCAGCAGCTACCTGTTGCATTTTGTCTGCAAGCCTAATCTTGGTGGTGGGCAGTGACAGAACAAGGAGTAAAGGGTATAAATTAAAACATAGGAGGTTCCATCTCCATGTGGAGAACTTCTTTCCTGTGAGGGTGCCAGAGCCCTGGAACAGGCTGTCCAGAAAGGCTGTGGAGTCTCCTTCTCTGGAGATCTTCCAAACCCGCCTGGATGGGACCCTGTGCATCTAGGTGTCCCTGCTGGATCGGGGGGTTGGATTAGATAATCTCGAGAGGTTCCTTCCAGCCTCAGACATTCCGTGATTCTGTGATTCTAAGGCTTGAACAGAGAGAAAGAAGCTTGTGCGAAGTAGTATCTGACCTTCCAACCTCAACCATTCTGTGTTTCTGTGTGTGTGATACTAACAGCCTAGATCCCTGGAAGGGATGTGCAGAGCGCTCCCTCCGAGCGCAATTAGGAGCAAAGTCCTGTGAGCACTCACCTCCCGACAGAAGGTCACAATGTTTTCCCACAGGGCTTTGGCCTCTCCCTCGTCCGTCTGTCGCCTCTTCTCCACGTGCATGCTCTCGCGTCTCTTGAGGGGCTTGGTGCCCTTGTGCTGGGCCACGTAGTGCTGGGGGGTATGGCAGGCCACACAGTGCTTGGCCTTGAGCTCATTGAGCAAGGTGCAAGCAGGACAAGCCCACTGGCTTGGCCTGTCTTGGGCCATGGGCAGCTGGGAAGGGAAAAGGCGAGCAACCTTGCGGGCGGACGGGGCCTTGGTGCCGCAAGAGGAGCAGGTGCCCTTGTCGCAAGCCCCGCAGTCAGAACACCTCGGGGCCGGCTCCCCCTGTGCCCCGTGCTCCTGGAAGCCGTGCAGCTTGGAGGAGCCGCACACTTTGCACTTCTGGGCTAGCGTGGGGTTCTTGAGGGTGCATTTGGAACAGGACCAGGTAGTGAAGTCAGGGCTGGAGGGGCTGCATGGGGTGAATCTCACAGAGTCCCCCACCAAGTTGATGGTGTCACTGCCTTTCTGGGCACTGCAGACCTCACATTTGCTGGTCCCGGCAGAGTTAAGCAGGGAGCAGGTACTGCACTTCCAGTGGGACGGGCCCACCTCCATCTCCTCCTCCAGCATGCCCAGCCGCTTGTTGGACAGCAGCTCCTGGAGGCGGGCGGATGGTGGAGCTCTGGCTTGACCCTGTGGAGAGCCCTTCTGCCCAGCTGCAGTCTGAGCCACAGGCTGGGAGGCCTCAGGCCCCGGCATCTGCAGCTGTGGGGGCACCTCCCTGCGGCTCCGGGGCACGGGGTTGTTTTGGAGCCCTGGGGAGAAGGGACTGAAGGCTGGCATCTTCTGGGCCTCTTGTTCCATAGCCACTGGGCCCTGGGTGGCCACGGCATCACTGTCAGTGATCTCTAGAGAGACTAAAGACTGAGGAGTAGCTGGGGCTACTTGAAATCCAGCAGGGGTGATGACTTCAGGGACGACCAGCGCCTCTGGTGGGATCTTGGGCAGGGAGAGCTTGCGTGGCCCACCACAAGCAGAACAGGAGTTAGCCACGGGTGTGTTGTGCAGGGTGCAGCGCTGGCAAGCCCAGCCATCCTCCAGCTCTGCCTCATCTGGATTCTTTGCCCCGGAGTCCTCACTGCCACCTTCTGTCTTGGGAGCTTCCTCCTTCGATGTGCCCCTGGGCTCCACAAGCACTGTGGGCTTGGGCAAGATGCCATTGAGGATAGGCAAGGGGGAGCTGCTGGGCCCTGGTTCTGGGTTGAAGCCACATACTTCACAGGTTTCCTTGCCCAAAAAGTTCCTGAAGGTGCAGCGGGCACAGGCCCATTTCTGTTCCTCCACACTGAGCCGCAGAATGTGGTTGAGGTCAGGCTTTTGGCGGGGGGCTTCACATATGGAGCACTGCCGTTGGCCAACAGGGTTCAAGAAGGTGCAGCGGGTGCAGGACCACTCACGCACAGCAGCCATGGAGCCAGGAGAGTGGGAATGGCTGGAAGAAAGGAGAAGAGAGCATGAGGGCAGGGTCCCCATGTACACGGAGATACCATGCCTATCTGTGCCTGGGAGCACCTTGCTTTCTGGAAGGGAATAAAGGGCAATCCTGTCACGGTTTTCTAGGGACTTGCTTCTCCAACACTGAAAATTTATGGCTCCAAGTTCCAGGCAATGTTCTGGCTTCTACCGAAACCACGTAAGACAGGAACACTCACAGAAACAGTCATTTTTCATCTGAAAAGTCACTGATCCCTCCCTCTGTTGGGCCTCCAACTGCTTTAACATCTTACAGGTTTAATATGTGTTTTTCCCTCTTTCTCTTCCCAGACTCCTTTACTCCTTTGGTGCCACTCCAGCCCAACCTTGTTTTGCTTGGTGTTCTTGTCTCTCTCCTCCCCTTTTGGCACACCTCCACTCATTCCAGGGCACACATAAGTTCTCCAAGGGGCAGGAAACCAAGCTGCCCTGTGGTGATGCTCGGGCACGGCTGCAAGCTTCTGGGCCAGACCTAGCCCAATGCCCTGTGAGTGGCAGCACTGAGACAGGCCTAGCCAGGCTGCAGCAGGCAGGTGCCACAGCAGAGCGTGAGACCAGCAGCAGCTCCTGACTTCTGGCAGAGGCCAAACGTTCCAGCCGGCAGCCTCTGTGGGGCAGTGTCCCAGCTGCAGGTGCACTGCGCCCACCGCACTGCTGGGAGGACAGGCTGCAGGGCCCTGCCATCCGCGCCAGCCTCCACTGCTGCCTCGGAGCGCCTGGGACCCTAACTGAAACCCTAACATGCCGAGCTGCCTCATTCCACGGCTGATGATTTTTAGGCAGCTCCATTTTCAGCAACGGAGGCCCTGCAGTTGCATGGATAGCAGAGGGCTGTGGAAGCCTCTGGGCTTCCAGGGAACAGCTCTCCCTGGACTTTCAGGGAGACTTTCCTGCATGCTGACAAACCACAGAAGGTACCGCAGCCCTGCAGCTGCCCTTTGTCCTCCCTTTGAGGTCATTGCCAGGAACTGTGAGCAAAGGTGGGGCTCAAGTGCAGCTTCCTGCTTCCTTTATGCAAAGGCAGCAGAATTTGCCTTCAGGCAAAGGTGCAGCACGAGAGCTCTATGGCCTCTGTGCACCCCTGCTCCCAGATAACGCAGCCAAGCCACAAGCCCCAAGCTTGAAAGCAAGCAGAGCACTGCTCCCCGGCCAGCGGGAGCTCTTGCAGATGAAAGCTGCAGGGAGTTGTGCTTCTCTACAGCCGAGCCGTTTCTCTTCCAGTCCTTCCCTCCACACGCTGCTTGCCTGGGGCTCTGGGCAGGCCTGGGTCTGAAGGAGAAGCCTAAGAGTCCACCTCATGCCGCCGGCTCTTCCTGGGAACACTGCTTTGCAAATTCAGGCAAGCTCAAACCAAGGATTCAGTAGCCTCAAAATCATGGGCCACCCCAGTGGCCTCACCATTTGCTATCTCTCTAGTATGTCTTTGAGAATCTGGTTCACCCACAAAACAATCGGGGGCGGGGGGGAGAAAAAGCTTTTTTGTCCTGAAGAACAAGCACAGAAAGCTTTGAGATGCTTGCGCTGTCCTCCTAGGGAGCCTGGTCCTGGCTGCTCTCCAGAGCCCCGAGCAGCAGCACTTGCACAGCAGCTCCCAAAGGCAGCTCCGAGCAGACCGCACTGCAGCACTAGGATCTGGACCTGACGGAGGATGTGGCGACAACACGCAGCAGCAGGAAAGCAACCCACCGTTTGGCTGGGTACATGAGAAGCCCTTGCAGAAATGTCCTACCAGCAGTTTGACTGCCTTTCCAAACAGCTTCACAACTATCGAAGACCCATCCCCTTTACCTGGAGATCAGCTAAAACCTTCGAATCCCTTCTCAAATGAAGCATTTCTTCAAATCAACCTTAAATCCAGGAAATATATTTTATTTCAAGAGAGACCTTGCAAATGCTTTCCAGTTCATCTACTCTTCCTTCATATTTTGAACTTTACAAGGTATTTATTTACCAGAGTTATTTCAGGACCCTATCACAGCTAAGTGAAGTATAAACATTGATTTTTTTGCCTGAAGCTCTACAGCTCTCCCTCTATGGTAGCACAATGTAGTCCACAACAATCTGAAGGGGAAGTCATTCCTCACCCCAAGGGAAGGAACTGCCTGCCTGGCTCCAGCCACAGAAGCGCACAGGGCCAGGAAGGGCACGGTGATCCTATCACAACCATTTACCTTCCTGAATGTGGTTCATAAGCCACAGACATCAGCAAAAGGCAAGCAAAAGCTGTCAGCAACCTGCTTTGTCCACATCTGTCCTGCATTCAGTCCCCACTAATAACCACCATAGAGCGGGCTGGACAGCACTGGCCCCTAAAATCAACCCCTACATGTACAAGTCACATTGTTCCCTGCAGACTTGGAGACCCTCCAGCTACCAGACTTCCTGCTACACAAATCCTGCTTGAGTCCAGGCTCTACTGGCCGTGCAACCACGAGACCATAAAGATAAATCACCTTGCCCCTTCCCATGTCAGTGGAGAGAACGGAAACAAAAACAGGATAACCTAAAAGAAACAAGCACCATGCGAGGGAAAGTGGAACAACATCCCCACCAAGACGTGCCTGCTGGGTTACCAGCAGCGAGCAGGGGGCTTGGGGAAGGCTGCAGTTTCACTTGGCCAGGCGGGTGATCCAGACGGCAGCTCCCCGCAGCGCACAGGAGGTGGACGCAGCGACGCTGCGGTGCTCTGCACTCCTTGCACGCGTGCGCTTATCCTGAGCTCAGACACAAGCCTTGGGGAGCTGCCATCTCTTCATAGCCATGCTGTTTCCCTCGCAAGAAGACTATTTCTTTCCATAGCCTAGGAATTTGCTCCCAGCCCTCTCTGTTCCAGGGACACTATCGTGCCTGCTGCTGGAGTTTCCATCTACTCGACTTTCTGTACTGACAGCTCTTGGGAAAAACAAAAAGTCTCCCGCAGAAAGCTTGTCTTTGGCCATCTCCTTCTTTTGCTGCTCCTTCGTGGGCCTGTCAGTTCCCCTTGCAGCGGCAGGCCATCAGGAGGGCCAGCTCATGCAGGAGTCTTCTGTGTCCACCTTTCCCCAGGGCAGCTCTTGCCCCGTGCCAAGGCACCAGACAGCCCTGCAGCCACAGGGTAACAGACAACGAACCTTCCGGTGCAAGCTGGTGGGATGGACACACGCAGACAAGACAGGAAGCATCTTGCGATGTCCTCCACAAGCTGCTGATTCACCAGCCTTGATGACATACACTGAATCAGCCTGCAGACTGCTTCTACTGGACCAGTGTGTGGCTCACTTGATGGATGCTTCTACTGACCCAGGACCAATGGATGAGAATTCAAGTCCCGGACTGGATTGACAGACTTTTGAAAAGTCTGAAGACCACAAAGGGTGCATGAGGCCATAAGGGTAGTGATGAACACTGGCCCCTGGCCTTTTCTTCCACAGTATGCCATGTAAGTGCACACAGCGGGCCTTAGTGGCATCCTCTGTCCCACATATCTATAGCCACAGGAACTGGCTGAAGGAAAAAATCCATGCACAGCCTCTCCAGGATCTGTTATTCTCCCCAGGAAGTCTGTTTGACTGCTTTCCTAGCAGGCAATGCGCACTTCGGAGAAAATACAGCTGTCTCCACCATCTCTTCACCAGGACCACCTGCTGTGTGATAACACGCACCCTCTCTAGCTCAAGAAAACACAACTGCGATAAACATTGCCTGTCATTTCCCTGACCTGCGTATGCCTGAGAGGAGTGCCTCTTAAAAATGGCCAATCCACGCTGACTTGGCAAAGCCGCCTACACACCAAAGGGATTTTTCTTGGGAGAGACGCACGTTTCAGGGAACATCGTGATGCAAAGGGGAACCCTGTTCTAAGCCCCTCGCTGCCCTGTGAGGCTGCACAACGGGGCTAACTGGGCGCAGGGACCTGCTAGAGGCTCTAGTTGATGCACACAACAAGAAAAAGACAACGGCTGTAAAAATGTCCACCTCTCACAAGGCAGACAGCTCTGGCTTCACATGGAAGGGCTTTCCAATGGAATGTCTCTCCCCTCCAAGGCAGGGTGTATATCAGCAGACAGGAGTCACCACCACACATTTGCAGGCCTTCACATACCTTAGCAGCCACAACAGCTTAATTTTAGTTGTTAAAAAGGAATATTTAAGGTCCAAGTGGGCCCAAGACAAATACATAGCTTTCAGCGTGCTGACCACACTTCAGGGGTGCTATTTCCAGGCAGATTTAATGGAGGACCAAGGATCAGCCCACCACCAAAGCAGGCTCTGCAGAGCTGCCTTGGGTAGGATGCTGGCTGGAAAGTTGGGCCAACATGGCAGGACAGCGAAGGGAACAAGAATGCATGAACTAGCTGCCTTCCAAATGCACCTCAGGAGAGTGCTGTCCCGCCTCCTGGGGCTCTCCGGAGTTTAGGAATCCTGCCCTACTGTAACAGGGCCCTGGCTCTTCCACAGCCAGCGAACATCAAGAAAGCTGGGGGTCACATCATCTTTGGGCGCCATCTGGCACCCAGAGCACATTTGGAGGCCTCGCCAAAGCATGGCACAGGAACGGGAAGGAGCTGGGCAGGGGTGAGACTGGGAAGTGCCCAAGGGCTACGGTGCGTGCGTTCCTGCATGCAAAAACCTGTTCTTGTGCCAACCCCGCACTTTACTAGTTCAACTAGTTCATCTGTAGGGCAAGGAATGCCAACCAGCCCTGGCCGTGAGTTCCTTGGACTGCCACAGCAAACAGCTCGTGGTGATCTGGGGCTCAGAGCAAGACGGTCGAGAGCTCTGCTGGGCGTCCACCCTGGCGCGCAGGGTGAGCCGAGCTCAGGTCACGTCAGTCACCCCAGCAATGGCATCGTCTCCAGAACAGCCAGTTACAACAACCAAAATGCACTGCTCCAGCTCTCTCCAGAAATAATTAATAAATAAATAAAAATCTTTTTTTTTGGTCAGCAAGACACAGACCCTGAATTCCTTGTAGCACTG